CATTTGAACACATTTTCCATAACAAAAAATTTACAAAATTGGGATACCACCCTCCCCTGAAAATGAATTTCACGATATTTCCATATTTTCATCAAAAAACTATAATTTTTGCATTTGAACACATTTTCCATAACAAAAAAATTTTACAAAATTGGGATACCACCCTCCCCTGAAAAAAATTTCTTCATATTTCCATATTTTCATCAAAAACTATAATTTATGCATTTGAACACATTTTCCATAAAAAAAAATTTTACAAAATTGGGATACCACCCTCCCCTGAAAATGAATTTCTTCATATTTCCATATTTTCATCAAAAACTATAATTTATGCATTTGAACACATTTTCCATAACAAAAAATTTTACAAAATTGGGATACCACCCCCCCCTGAAAATGAATTTCTTCATATTTCCATATTTTCATCAAAAACTATAATTTATGCATTTGAACACATTTTCCATAAAAAAAAATTTACAAAATTGGGATACCACCCTCCCCTGAAAATGAATTTCTTCATATTTCCATATTTTCATCAAAAACTATAATTTATGCATTTGAACACATTTTCCATAACAAAAAAATTTTACAAAATTGGGATACCACCCTCCCCTGAAAATGAATTTCTTCATATTTCCATATTTTCATCAAAAACTATAATTTATGCATTTGAACACATTTTCCATAACAAAAAATTTTACAAAATTGGGATACCACCCTCCCCTGAAAATGAATTTCTTCATATTTCCATATTTTCATCAAAAACTATAATTTATGCATTTGAACACATTTTCCATAAAAAAAAATTTTACAAAATTGGGATACCACCCTCCCCTGAAAATGAATTTCTTCATATTTCCATATTTTCATCAAAAACTATAATTTATGCATTTGAACACATTTTCCATAAAAAAAAAAATTTTACAAAATTGGGATACCACCCTCCCCTGAAAATGAATTTCTTCATATTTCCATATTTTCATCAAAAAACTATAATTTATGCATTTGAACACATTTTCCATAACAAAAAATTTTACAAAATTGGGATACCACCCTCCCCTGAAAATGAATTTCTTCATATTTCCATATTTTCATCAAAAACTATAATTTATGCATTTGAACACATTTTCCATAACAAAAAATTTTACAAAATTGGGATACCACCCTCCCCTGAAAATGAATTTCTTCATATTTCCATATTTTCATCAAAAACTATAATTTATGCATTTGAACACATTTTCCATAACAAAAATTTTACAAAATTGGGATACCACCCTCCCCTGAAAATGAATTTCTTCATATTTCCATATTTTCATCAAAAACTATAATTTTGCATTTGAACACATTTTCCATAAAAAAAATTTTACAAAATTGGGATACCACCCTCCCCTGAAAATGAATTTCTTCATATTTCCATATTTTCATCAAAAACTATAATTTATGCATTTGAACACATTTTCCAAAAAAAAATTTTACAAAATTGTGAATCCACCCCTCCCCTGAAAACGAATTTCTTCATATTTCCATATTTTCATCAAAAAACTATATTTTTTGCATTTGAACACATTTTCTATTACAAAAAAATTTTACAAAATTGAGATACCACCCCTCCCCCCCTGAAAATGAATTTCTTCATATTTCCATATTTTCATCAAAAAACTATAATTTATGCATTTGAACACATTTTCCATAACAAAAATTTTACAAAATTGAGATACCACCTCCCCCTAAAAACAATTTTTCATCAAAAACTATAATTTTGCATTTGAACACATTTTCTATTACAAAAAATTTTACAAAATTGGGATACCACCCTCCCCTGAAAATGAATTTCTTCATATTTCCATATTTTCATCAAAAACTATAATTTATGCATTTGAACACATTTTCCATAAAAAAAAATTTTACAAAATTGGATACCACCCTCCCCTGAAAATGAATTTCACGATATTTCCATATTTTTGTCAAAAAACTATAATTTTTCCATTTGAACACATTTTCCATAACAAAAAATTTTACAAAATTGAGATACCACCCCTCCCCCCTGAAAATGAATTTCTTCATATTTCCATATTTTCATCAAAAAACTATAATTTATGCATTTGAACACATTTTCCATAACAAAAAAATTTACAAAATTGGGATACCACCCTCCCCTGAAAATGAATTTCTTCATATTTCCATATTTTCATCAAAAACTATAATTTATGCATTTGAACACATTTTCCAAAAATAAAAATTTTACAAAATTGGGATCCACCCTCCCCTGAAAATGAATTTCTTCATATTTCCATATTTTCATCAAAAACTATAATTTATGCATTTGAACACATTTTCCATAACAAAAAATTTTACAAAATTGGGATACCACCCTCCCCTGAAAATAAATTTCTTCATATTTCCATATTTTCATCAAAAACTATAATTTATGCATTTGAACACATTTTCAAAAAAAAAATTTTACAAAATTGTAATCCACCTCCCCTGAAAATGAATTTCTTCATATTTCCATATTTTCATCCAAAAACTATAATTTGCGCATTTGAACACATTTTCCATTACAAAATAATTTTACAAAATTGGGATACCCTCCTCCCCCCCGAAAACAAATGTCACGATATTTCCATATTTTCATCAAAAAACTATAACTTTTCCATTTGAACACATTTTCCATAACAAAAAATTTTTTACAAAATTCAGATACCACCCCTCCCCTGAAAACGAATTTCTTCATATTTCCATATTTTCATCAAAAACTATAATTTATGCATTTGAACACATTTTCCAAAATAAAAAATTTTACAAAATTGTGAAGTCATCCCTCCCCCCTGAAAACGAATTTCTTCATATTTCCATATTTTCATCAAAAACTATAATTTATGCATTTGAACACATTTTCCATAACAAAAAAAATTTTACAAAATTGGAATACCACCCCTCCTCCCCTGAAAATGAATTTCTTCATATTTCTATATTTTCAACAAGTGTCACAAGGCTCAATGACGATGACCAACCACTAGCCATACCTAACATGTTACCACCAGAGATCTTTCTTGGGTAGATCAAGGCTTTAGGAACTTCAGACAAGGGTTGCGTTGAGCTGAGAACTAAAAAAGAACAAATATGGATAGATGATGAAGTGGAGAAGAAGAATAGAGGTTAAAGAAGACACACTACGTATGCTCATTGGTGTTTCACAAGAGTATACATTACAGGATAACTATGGATCATACTAGTCTAAACAACTACGTACATTTAAGCAATCCAACTTTCCCATGGTAAACACATGTGTCAAAAAAAGTGATCAAATTACAAAATTCGTGCAATCAAATAGTCGGACATGGTATTGTATTTGTAGAAGAGAGCCAATAAAATAAAAAAGATTCTCTTGAGGCATTTGTAAATATTAGTTTAGATCGACTAATTATAAAGGCAGAAGATGTAAGAGTGAATAAAAACAATTTCCCGTCAAATCAAAGGAAAGCTTGGATATGACATGCAATATGCAGATATAAAGTTGTAGAGAAAAATGAAAAACACTTTTAACGTTGTCACGGATATTACGAGTGCCGTAACAAAGTGTTGACGAGTTTCAAATGCATTTGTAAAAACAAGCTTAAGTAGACAAAAAGCATGCCATGTCGATCATGCGCAGTCCACTCGAGTAATTGTTCATAGTCAAGACAACGACCAACTATATGTACTTGCACTACATTTGTGTGAATTAACTCACTTAGTTGCAAATTATCGAAGAAACTATCTGGGCATGCGCAGTAACGATAACAATCATCCCACAACTTTCGTAGGCCTTTAAATTTTGGTATATATATATAAAGCTAAAACTTCATATAGTAGATGTCAAGTAGCAGTGGAAGCTGGGTGCGATATAGTATGCAGTGGCATAGGGGCCCTCACTTCGGTGGTGGCGACCGCACTCTCCCTGCCTACCCTGAGCAAAGCCTATCGCAGGTGATCTCAGGGTCTGATGGGCGGAAGCTTGCTATTGGCATCTCCCAAGTAGGATAGCGTGGAGGGGCCGAAATCTTCTACCGAAACGTTAACATGCGGCGTTCTAGTGCCTTGCGCTTAAGAAGGTATCGGGAAGCATGGACCGAAAACGGGGTTTTTTGCTTTCGAATTTAATGTTTTTGTTTTCTTCTCATAAAACAAACCAAGCAATGTTTCAATTAACTTCTTACGACCCTGTCTTTTTCTGACACTTATAATTAAAGACAACCTTAAACAAGTTTTATACCAATTTTATCGGTTTATATCTTTCTGATTTAACTCTCCCATTTACTTTTTCTCATGTACCACGAGCAAACCATCCATATGTTTCATGGAAAACAAACAAGGATTATATGGTTCCCTTAGTTAACATGCGACGCTCTAGTGCTCAACTATCTCGGGGTATCTGGAGGCATGGACCGAAAACGGGATTCTTTGGTTTTCAAAATTTATCTTTTTCTTTACAAGAATTCTTGTCATAAAAAAAACTAGAACGTCCAAGGATACTTCAAAGGTTCAAACAACTTTTGCCATTTTGAACTATAACTTAAACAAACACTAAGCATGTTTATACGTTTTTTACTTATTACCTTTTACAACGTAACTTTCTCATAACTCTCTCGTGATGAACGAGAGCCTCCTTATACAATATGACTCTTTCATCATGAACGAACGCATCCATGGGCTTCACGGAAAAAAGGGATTATGTACTTTGTTATAATAGTTTCTACAAAGATAACATTTATTAAGCTAAGAAATTTGAAAATAAATATATTTGAGTTATTAGGAAATAACAAGTCAAGAATTCATTGATCATACTCATTCCAATTGGTCTGGAACAACCATGACATTTATAATTTTGACCATCCACCCTTTATCAAGGGCTATATTATTAATTTACGACAGTAACTTCATACGTCGTTCTTGCTGAACACCTTCAGGTGAAGTCGGATCATCAATAATCTGTTATATATAAAAACATAATTTATCTATAGAATTATAGCAAAGTTACGATGGACAGATGAGAGTTATTAACGCTATAAAACTTAAATTCATTTTTAGTTCGTATTATATTTGTGTCATCTGCTCCATCTCACTAATGTTACTTATATGAACTGGAATTCTCAGCAGAAGATCGCATGTTGATGTTGTGGGGCGACATTTACAATTTTCTTTGCAATCATGTACAAACGTTACGGAAAATTTTTTTGGAAAACCCAGAACTGGAATAGTCTTACATCCCGATAACCACTTCAGAAACGCTGATATGGATACGTCTCCTGTTAAAAACATTTTAAACATTTAAGACTGAAAAATGAATAAACAAACTAATCAAGGTATCCATTTTTTGTTTTTATACCACAACTTCAGATTAGAAAACATCACTTCAATAAATTTTACGCGTTATTTGATACTTTCAAAAAATTCCATCGTAAATACAATAATACAATTTGGCACCCAATTTACAACATATATATTCAAACTAACCTTCAGTATCTAGGGTTTGCACATAGTCGCAAAATATCTTGTACACGTCAACCTCCTTTTCCTTGTGAATCTGCGAACTGCTGAATGTTGGAATAATTTCATTGAGGAAAGTATCAGCAGAAAGTTTAAACGAATCGTTATAAGGATCGAACAATGGCTTCCACAACTCTGGATTTTCTATCATATAATTTATAAGACCACAACTGCTGAGGCCTTCAAGCAATTGCATAATTTGAGGAAGAACTGATGAAAAGTGGCCCATTACGCAAATTGACCTTTAAAAATAGAAATAAATCTTAGACTTTATAAACCAGCAGCACAAGAATAGTTTTTTTAATCTCCATTAACTTTCAAAATGTACTTACTGAGCAATTTTGGAAACAGTATGCACTGTCTCTTTATGTGGTACACCAGTGTATCCAGCCTCTGATAGCATTTCAATCATATCATCGCTGACAAGTATCTCCCTCAACATTTCATCGTCACAAGCTTGCTTTATCTTTGAAAAGGAGAAGTGTAAAGTAGTCATTACTGACATCAGAGAATATAATAAAAATAGACTTATTTCAAAATCATGCCACAGCAAGGAGTAATAATCAAGCATATGGTAATCTCCATCTTGTTGCAGCATATCTTTTTAACAGCTTCTTTGTACTTGGAGTCGGGCATTCCTTCTGTTGTGAGTGCCTGTTTGGTGATGTACTTGTAAACATCTGGACTTATAAAAGATGAAGCTGGTCCGCTTTGAAGTAATGACATCACCATGACCTCGCCAGCAAAACGAAAATCTCCATTCATGATGGCGACAGTTGAATTAATAGGTTTTCCATTATAGAACAGTCTTCTTTCCATATGCTCCAACATTTCTGATGAAAGAATTAACATCTAATCATATTTTTTCAATTGTCCCCATCCTATATTTAAACCAAACTTGTCAACATTGATTGATGCATGATAGACAAATTATGGGAAATAAGCTGCAAAGGGAATTGAAGTGTAGCAGAACAATATATTTATTTTAAATCAACAGGGTGCTCATATTAACCCTAGAAACATATGTCTTACAATATTAGTACCTGAAAAAAACTCTCTCTTTGGCCCCCCGTCATCAATTGCACACTCTCCAACAAACACTATCTTTACACTGTCAGTTGGTGACACTTTACCACTTGATCTATACTCAATGAAGTCACACCATATATTTTTTCTACAAACATTTAATCTTACTGCCTTTGGTGACAATGTTACAGCTTTAATATCCAATAACTTATCTTTCACATTTGTAGTGTTATCTTGGTTTATCACCACATAAGGATTTTCTTCGGGAATGTTCTTTTCACTATCCGTATTTTGAGATTGAAGTGCTCCCACCCATATGTCACAACATATATCTGCATGCTCTGCTATTTCATCTATTGAAAAGTATTGTTGACATGTTGGGCACTCACATTTGAGCTCCTTGCTACGTGATACATAGTTACTTGCACTTTGGGAGTTATATATGGGAGGTGTATTCATTGGGAGATTTGTAGCAATATGCAAGCTAGTTGATGGCTCACATGGACTTGAAGATGGACAAGGTGAGAGTTCAATTCCAATTGTATCATCAGTTTCTAAAAACATCTCATCAGAAAGATCTGCGATTGTCTCTGGTTCACTATCATCACAACTTCTTTTTAATTTTGAAATCTCTGTGTACATATATGCAGATTTTAGTGCAATGAAAAGTGTTAAGCGATTATAATTCTTCCCTATATCTTCCCTGTATTCGCTTAACACAAACTCTTTTTCAGTTCCCGGCAAATTTGTGATTTCCTTCCCGTTTACATTCAAAGGACGTGCTCCAACTCGCCATGGATGTTATTGTCGTGGTTAGCATGTTTTCTAACTGCTTTTCTAAGATTTCTCTCTTTTCGCACTTGGCAAAACTTTTACAGGAGAGTTTTACCCCGACATCTTTTCAAATTTCCGTCATTATCGACCTTCATGTAACCAATATTTATGCTTACTTCATGCTCCTTATCTTTTCCTTTACCAGAATTTGCTTTGAGTTTCTTGGTCTTTGGCTCGAGTCTGCTGCGCCTATCGCTTTCCTTCTGGCGCTTGAAATCGTAAAAACTTAACGTTTTAGGCGGCTGGGTTGTACCAGTAAGGGTACCGCTAGCACATAATACTGAGATCCCACTAGTTATAGAATTCGACGTAGAACATGTGTTTGCAGATTCTTCAAGTTTTTCGCGCATCGGTGCGAAGGAGTTGCCACATTTATAACAGTAATTCGCATTTTCCACACTTTCTATACCACAGTTTGAACAAAACATTTTTTGCTATCCATCAAGCAATATATTGAATATAATTTATAATAAGTCTGGTTTTCGTGGAACAAATTTAAACAAGCGCCATTTTGCAAAATATCACAACAATGTTTCCACTTCACAAAAAGAATTTCCAGTATTTCATATTTTACTTGCGTTGTGATTATATTTACTTGTGTTGTGATTATATTTACTTGCGTTGTGATTATTTTACTTGCGTTGTGATTATATTTACTTGTGTTGTGACTATATTTAATTGTGTTGTGACTTTATTTACTTGCGTTGTGATTATTTTACTTGTGTTGTGATTTTATTTACTTGCGTTGTGACTTTATTTACTTGCGTTGTGATTATTTTACTTGTGTTGTGATTACATTTACTTGTGTTGTGACTTTTTTTAAGTGATGGCCCTTATGGGCCACCGTACATTCCCTCCAGGTCTTCTAGAACTCAATGGGTTTGGTTTGACATGATCTAACAACGCCAGCGGTGAAATAATAGTCCAGTTCAATGGTCGGTCAGTGTACAGTCCTTCCTCCGCGAAGCTGGAGTGGCAAGAGATCAATCAAACCATGTCTATGACTTCATGACATTTGAACGAGAACGATTTTTCTTTGCATGTTTGATGCATGCGAGACTTTGCATACAGTGATATGTAGCTTAAAAAATGGCGTATTCTCTATTTAAAGTAAGGGTTACATAAAGAAGAGCGCCATGACCGCTCCAACGTCTGCGGGAGAACGGCTCATTGACTATTTCGTTGTTTGCGGACTTGACAATGTGTCCGGCTTGGAACCCGACCAGCTATTAGGTATGATACTTTACGACGGTTTTCTCTAAAACGGTCGAAGTTAGAGTCATTTTAACACGTGTGTGTGTGTGATAATCTTATTTAACATTTGAAATGAGAATGCTACTTTGTAGTTATTGTATAGAAAACGTATCGCTGCCGACCAAAATTGTCAACATGTTGAAATGTGCGACTTGAACAGCTGTGCACATAGATTGACGAGTTTACGTATTTCCGTATACAAATTCTTGTAATCAAAGTTCATTACAGTTTTGTTTAATGACTGACTAATCATTCGAGAGGTTTTATTTCAATTTAAACTTACCCTTCAAAGCAACAATTTATTGCGTTTTGACACGCGATGTTTATCGTATCTTTTACTTGCTTAGGCTAAGATTATGAATTCATGATAAAGATCGCGCTCTTTGATGCGACGTTTGCTCGCTGCGACTTCGTGCTGACATTCACAAATGCGCGAATGAAAGTCTTTTATACAATTTTTGTTTACGAAGGGTTGTTAATTAACAAATGGTGTTTGTTGTTGGTTGCATGGATTGTGAAATTTGATGGTGATTTTTTGCATGTTGTGTCGATCTCATATTACTGTTGTTTCATTATTACCATTTGTAATATGTGAAGGTTGAAGATGTTAAGTTTACATTTTATGTATTCCAAGATTATTATGTGCAAGCTATTTATATCAGATTGTGTTCGGACAACAGCCAATTCAATTTCAAGATGCATTGGTTGCCAAGCACTCTTCACAGTTTGACAGCACGATGTTCCATATAATGGTTTAGGTAAAGGCTAAGGTTAGGGTTGGGAGCTATGGTCAAAGTTAGGCTTACAATTAAATTAGGGGTTGAATAGGGGCTGAGTTGTTTGGACCAAGTTATTGAATACAGTTGAATACAGTAATTGACTACTTTCAGGTTATTACAGTGGCTGTTTTGAGATCCAAGCTGTTGAAGTTATTGTAGTCATTGAAGTTGTTGTACTCATTTTTTTTAACATCTTATATGTAAAATATTATAACATTTAATTTCTCCTTCATACTTGATGTAGTTGCTTTGTTTAAAGCATATATGATTTTTGCCAATTTTTTGTGTTGACAGGTGTGGTTATTTGAGATTTTTTTGTTTTGACAATTGGATGCATTAAGTATTCTCATTGGAAATTGACTGTTAAAATATTCTGACTGTTGGGACTCTTATTCATTTATTTGATGATACAAGTTTTGCCTACATAATTTAATTCAATTACCTTCATCATCATCATCATCATCAGCGTTCCGCCACTGCTGGCAGATGGCCTCCACAACTTCTTCCACTCGATTCGGTCTTTAGCTCTCCTCATCCAGGTCTTTCCAGTTTCCTCTTCGATCTCGTCTCTCCATCTTCTCTTTGGCTTTCCTCTTCCTCTGGTGCAGTTTCTTGGGTACCATTCTGTTGTCAATTTGGCCCATCTGTTGTTTTCCATTCTTGCCACATGGCCTGCCCATCTGCCTTTCATTTCTTTTGCTGTTTGGATGACATCTTTCACCCTGGTTCTCTCTCTCTGATTACTTCATTCCTGATCTTGTCTTTTAGCCTGATATTTAGTATGCTCCTCTCCATGCTCCTTTGTGTGACTGCCAGCTTCCTTGATTGGTGTTTTGTAAGCGCCCATGTTTCTGCTCCGTATGTCATAGATGGTAAAATGACAGTGTCCATTATTTTCCTCTTCAAACTGTTTGGGATGTTCTTCTCCTTTAGAAAGTGACTGTATTGCCCGAATCTTCTCCATCCGACATTGATTCTTTGATTGACCTCAACACTGATTTCATTTCTTGGTGTTAACATTTTTCCAAGGTATTTGTACTCCTCCACCTCCTCCAACTTCTCTCCGTCAACTGTGATCCTCTTCTTTGCTTCCTCCTTGCGATGTCATTGCACATGATCTTGGTTTTTCTTATTCATTTTCATACCATCTTTCTTTCCTTCTTCATTCAGTTTCGTCAAAAGTTCTTGGAGATCTTCCTCTTTGTTTGCAAACAAGATGATGTCATCTGCGAATCTTAAGTTGTTCATTACTCTTTTTCCAATGGTATTCTTTTGAAGATCTCTTCAATGGCAGCAGTGAACATGATAGGTGACAGTGTATCTCCTTGGCGGACACCTTTCTTTATCTTGATCTTTTCGCTCAGCTTTTCTGTTCTTATTTGTGCTGTGCCTTCTCTGTATGTTTCCTTTATGCTGTTTATGATCTTTCCTGGTACTCCGTGTTTCGCAAGTGATTGGAATACTGGGGCATGCTTGATGGAATCGAATGCCTTTTCGTAATCTACAAATGCCATGAACAGTGGTTGTTGGTACTCGTTGGTTTTCTCGAGTATTTGTCCTGTAGCATGCAGGTGGTCTGCAGTGGAGAATCCTTTCCTGTATGCTGCTTGCTCTGGGGGTTGATGTTCATCCAGAGTGCCACTGATTCTGTTCTTGATGATTTTCATGAACAACTTGTAGATGTGGGATAGCAAACTGATGGGGCGGTAGTTTGCAAGATCTTTCTTGTCTCCCTTCTTGAAGAGTAGAATAATGATGGCGTTCTTCCACTCTTTTGGCACTTTTTCCGTCTCAATGGCTTTGTTGTAAAGATGCTGAAGTTTTTCCATTAGGATGTCACCTCCGGCCTTTATCATCTCTATCACCACAAGATCTTCACCGGGTGATTTTCCGTTTTCATCTGATGGATTGCCTTCTCCACTTCACATTTCATGATTACTGGAGTCTCTTCTGCTGGTCTCAACTGAATGTTTTGGGAGTGATCTTCGTACAGTGCCTGATAGAATTCTGCACATCTCTCGAGGATTCTTTTTCTGTCTGTTATTACCTTTCCATCCTTCTCCTTCAGTGCTTGAATCAGAGCCTTCTTTCCATCTCCTGTTGTGCTCTTTTTCAACCCTTTGCCACTTTCAACTGCTTCTCTGATTCTCTTGGTGTTTGCTTCTCTCAGATTTTGTCTTGTTTTCTTCCTGATTGTCTTGCACAGTTCAACATAACCTTTGCCGACTCCCGACTTAACACACATAATTTAATGTAAAGTACATATTATTATTACATCTAAAACAATTATTTATTTGTTAAATCATTTTATGCTAAATGAACTTTCCTTCTTTCCTCAACATTCTCCTGCAAGTCAAACAATGACATTAACATTGGTTGCTTTCATAGCTAGAAATGGGAAAAAATATGACCTGTTGGGCCCGGAAGAGTGAACTTTTTCTTCCCAATTCTTTTTTTGACTGATGTTTTATGTTTTTTAATAGTACTAGAAAGCAATAACTTAACAATTTTATTTGAAGTAAAGGGCAACTCAACTGAGCAAGCCATATGCAGTGTCAACAATTTTGCTCAAACAGCTAAAAGATTTTCCATTTTGTGTTTCTTCATGTTGCAATATTGCAAAATGTCAAGAGTGTTTATATCCTTGCATTTCATAAATTCAAGTATTTCTTTGGTTTCTTTTGTAGGTGATTCACATCACGTTCCACCCTTGAAAGGTCTTATCGGGCAAAGACATTAGCTCATTATCCTGATCATGTCCCCTGGAATCCATTTGATGAACATGCAGTTTGCATGGTATGATTTATGCTTGGTTGGAAACAACCAATTTTTCATAAAAGAAACCTTGTTACTTTGCTGAAGGGGGACTGAGCTTGAGAAGCTGAGGGTCTGAGCAAGG